CACGATCATTTCCGAAGATTCCCGAAGAAGTCCGAAGTCTTCCAAAGACGTCCGAAGTCTGCCGAAGGCGAAGTTATCGAGAAAACGCTTATCCACAAAATCAGAGATCGCGAGGAAGGTATTGTCATTTATTCATTTTACACATGGTTTTCGTTCCTTACATGGGTCTGAGTTAACATATTTTTGGAAATTGTGTCAAGCAAGACGGCAACAACTCACATTTTTCAATCAGGCGTGAGAAATTGGTCCGCAGGCGTGAGCGGGCGTGAGATCAAAGTTTTCAACCCGCAGGCGTGAGACTCACGCCTAAGGCGTGAGAGTTGGCAGGTATACAGTTGCAGAACACATGGCAAAATGGTTACCAAAACTCTTGTAAACAGACCCATCAAAGACTCAAAACGAAAGTGGCAAGAAGAATCAGTCTTACCTTCCCAATGGCATCATGAGCAGTCACTGTATCATAGTCCATTATTCTGATAAAAAATGATTATAAAATATTGAGCTATAATAAACAATAACACATTCAAACCTCCATGTGCGACCATCTCTTGCAGCAACCAGCCCCTATAAGTTATCACCAATTCACTCTCGTAAATTACTATCTCTTGTAAGCGAATATCGACACCTTTTGGGATGACCGTTCTGAAATTTTCTACAGTAACTGCAAAAAAGCTCTTATAAGTGACCATGCACTTGAAAAAGGGTTGACCTCCACATCAGCATGCAAAGAAAGTGCTGTCCGATAGCCCGGGACTTAAGTGGATTTTGCTGTCGGGCTTGTGAATTTTGTCCTTAGTTTGCCCAATGGGCAAGTGAATCTTTTTGAGAATTCAAAGTACAGAAGAACTGTGTAATCAAACCTGCTTATCAAAAAGCCTTTGAGGCTAGTTAAAGTGATGTTTGGGCTAGTACATGCCAGCTACAGCTAGCCCGACTGGCAAGCCGTAAAACTTACTTTCTTTGCACCCTGCACATATATACATATTCTTCTAATACAAAGAGTGAAAGACAAAACGGACAAAATGACAGCTCACTGTTTTAAAAGTGTCCTGTTCTTAATTCCAACCCCCGGCCTCACTCCCCTTTTCCTCTTGGATCCAGAATCATGACTTCAAATAAACCAAATTCCAGACCCCAACGAACTGATTTAGAGGTACAAACACAGAATCCAGTGTGATGTTGCAATTATTGAGTACATCATTCCATCAATAAAACAAGTTTATCTGGGGTGTCTAATTCTCAGTCATGATACGTTATGGATACTCATATTAGTTTTATTGATCTGTTTTCCACAATTTCAACACAGTATATTTCTTTTGCAAAAGTAATAAATTGGCAAATAGGGGTGGGTATTTTAATCACACGCAGCTAACAGCAAGCACATCTGTAACTAACTAGCCTGTAAGCAATGACTACCATCAGACATAAATTTGCATTTTGAAGGGGAAATGACCTTGGCGTGCAACAAAAACATACAAAGATTTAGTACAATCAGAATGGGAAAACCTCATCACCTGATCTGCAGTGGTTCATCCTGAAGTTCTTCATCATCAGTCTAAAAGTGAACACAGTTTTTTTCAACGATTTGGTCAAGAACCATAAAATAACAAAAAACAGGTTCTGATCGTTGATTGCTAGTCTTGTTTCTTCTATTTTTCATAAATTATATGGTTGTTATTCAAGGTTTGCTAGTTTTCATTCCTATTGAATTTTTCAGATCTTGTTTCTGTTCTGGTCTAATTCACAACTTCTGGATCGTATCCCTGCTGTTTTTCATTCAGGTCTTAATTCTCGTTTTTTCCTTCAAGTATTCTTGCTTTCCATGACTGATGATAGAATACCACTAGTCTATTATAATAAATATCAGAGAAATGAAGCAAAATCAAATATATTATAAAAACACAATACACTTTTCATACCTCAAACCGGAACCACTCAGAATTCCACTGAGGATTGAGTGACTTCTTACAGACATCTGTCTTGTACAACACATTACCGAGACGAACCTATCAGAACAAAATTAACAGTGTACTATTAACTACTTTACAAAGGTGAAAATAACTTCCTTCAAAATCTTATGAACTGATGCCGAAAATTTTTCACGCAGTCAGCCATTGAAGTGTATGTAGCTTGGTTTTTTCTTATCAAGTCCAGAAGCAATTGAGTGTAGCCCCAGGGGAGGTTTTCCCGATTTTAAGTGATGGGGATGATCAATGAATTTGTTTGGTATTGAAATTTTTGATTCTGGGATTTTTTTGGGAGGGAAAATTTGGCAAGTATTTTTTGGGTGGTTTGATTTAAGTAGGGATTTTTGGGGGTATTCAAAAGAATCTGAAGATTCTTGGTAGTGCCCACGTATCCTGCTGGCTGCATAGTTCTACAAATATAGACTGCTTGCAGTCCGCCTTTTCTCTTAAAATCCGTCCAGTTCTTATCTCACCCAGCGCTATTGCAAACCACGATGTTATTATTTAGGGATTGCGACGAGATGAGAAAAGACAGACAGCTGACTCTTTTGTAGTAAACAAACCCTCCATCAGCCCTGAAACGGAGTAACCGATTGGTCAATTGCACAGCTCTTGACAGATCATTGACTGGTCTGTGGTGAGATTGCAAGCAATAAAAATAGTCACACGTCACAACCAACTGCAAACAACAGCAAACCAAGCAGTAATCTCAGTGATAAAACTTTTAAGGATATCTTACAGAAGGAAACTGCTGTAAATTTCCTCAAGGGAAACAAATTCAAGGCAATCTTACCGGCTTTAAAGAAAGTGTAGTTTTTTCAGTTGTTTATGTTCTATTTATATTTCGTTTCAAGTTACTCGGGTTTAATTGATTAATTAAATTACCTTGACAGCTTCGTTGTCCCCAGACAGAACAAAAGAGTCAGCAGTCTCTTATTTTTTCTTCTCGGGCTTACGCCCTCGTTTCTTGCGACAAGCGGCCTCGCCGCTCACTTGCTTAGTTTTTGCGTGCAGTAACTTTGTAAAGAAAAATAACAGACTGCTCACAGCCTAACAAATAAGACCACACTTGTTGTGAATGAGTAGGATTGCAAGAGTGGGTGTCTCAAGTGTTGTTAGAAATGACTACCAGACTAGATGGCGAAAAGATAACTTCAGATGGTATGATGAATAAACAAGCACAACGATTCAATTTCTAATGTTTTTAATTTTCATATTATATCATTTAATGCCTTCTGGAGATTATTATTTTGATTTCGCCCCTATTTGATCATCCCTGTCACTTGAAATGCAGAGTACCCCCCGTGAGTGTGTAGCCAAGTTGTATCCTTAAGCTATCCAACCTAACCCAAAAACAGTACACATGTTCAGCTGAAAAGTAATTGACCGGGTTTTTTAAAATATATTTGTAAACAATGATACTGTACTAAAATATACACACCAAGAAAAGCAAAGACAAGAGGAATCTCTAAATCAGTAGTTTAAGCAAACCTCAAAATTTTAAGATGCACGCAGTAGATCAGTCAGTAAGTTTACTGAAGGGCGATGTACGAAACCCTTATATTGTAAAATTTACTTTAAAAAACACAGCTTTTTACAAAGAGAATAAAGTCACTATGCATTTCTTACCTCTGCAAACGCATCCGCCAAGTCACTTGAACGGTCCATGACTGGAAGATCTCGTGCGGCCACAATGCGCACTTTAATTTTTGCAGGCATTTTGCGATCACTCTACCACACCAGAAACAAACAGCTGTTCAAGTCTACTGTGACCGACTTGCACAAGCCTCAAAAATGTAGTTTTCCGGGTGCAGCCATAATTTCTGAATAGCTATCATTAGTTCTGTTAGGGGTATTCTTGCTTGTATAACACATTTTTCGTTGTTGTTTACTTTTTCCGCTTAAAATCTTCCAGTAAGAGATGCACAGAAAACGTTTTCAGATCGACCACCAGTATCAGAGCATTCGCGGATCGAAATCTACCAGGCGTTGCAGTTCTCCCAGAATGCCTTTGTGTCCAAAAGCCACGTGCCACGCGCGAAGGAAAGCTGCGGCCATCTTGTTTTGTGGTCTCGTTTGCACTTTCTTGTTTCTTCGGCGAAATGGCCGGAGACGGTGCAGTAGACATCGATTTGTACGCTCAAGTAGATGAATTTGAGCCCGACGTTACTGGCCAGGTAATATTTTGGTCATTATATGACAAAGAGAGAATCTGTTTTCTTTTAACTGTGCTGCAGTAAGAATATTGAAACTTGACCTGTTTGTCGCCGTTGCTAGAAATATTGCTGTGTTGTGGCGTTTATGTAACGTTAGCAATATCCAAAGACTTACTTAGAAGTCTATACAGGGCCTTGTTTTTCCTTCCCAAGTGCAGTATTTACCAAGCTGTAAGCAACATATCGATGAGCGTGCATTACTGAATGCAGTATAAAGCTAAGAGAATTGAAAAGAGTCTTGGATTGTACTTTTCTGATTCTGCGCGAAAAGTCGTAAACTTGATGGCAAGGAAGAGAAATAAATTCAGTATATTGAATGCGTAACATAAAGCCTTCGGAACAAGATTGCAAGGCCCTATTGTAAGGTCTTAAACAGAAGTGGCTAGTCATAAAGAGTGTTGTTAGAACAAGAAAGGTTTTTAGTCATATAAGTGTAAGACAGACATAAGAGAGACATACAAGGGCTTAACTGCAGAATACCCAGCGATTTCGAAGCCATACTCATATAACAGTGGCTACATGGCTACAGGGCTACGTAGAATACCCGGCCACTTCGAAGCTATTACCCCTCACGTAGCCATGTAGCCGCATACCCCAGGGGTTTGGGTTATGGTTGGGGTTAGGGTTAGTGTTGGGATAAGCGTCAGTGTTTGGGTTAGCTGCGTAACCACGTAGAAGCATAGCCCCGTAGCCCCATGGCCGTGTAACTGCATTGCCCCGTAACCACCTAGCTGCGAAGCCGCGTAGCCATTCTTATAGGAGTATATCTTCGAAATGGCCGGGTATTCTGCTGTTACTCCCATTAAAGTATAACTTTCAATGAACAAGTAAAGTTATATATTTATTGGCTCAGTGGCTCGTCACTCAAGGTTAGGGTCTCAAAAAACAAGATAGGTATATATTTTAGTGGCTGGGCTGCTCGTTGGCTTGTCAATGACTGGCGAGCCTCCTAGCCATCCCAAAAAATCATTCCTAGAAAATTGGCCCTGTATTCTGTAGTTATGCCCCTTCTGGTCTTTCTATTAGCATCATATGGCTGAAGGGTTGGATCTATATGATGATGTACTAACCACAGGTGCAGAAATGCCAGTGGGACCTGAAGATGAAGTATTACAAGTGCAGGTAAGAACACAGTCTGACAAACATGTAAGCTGCAGAAATAATTTGTTGTTTCTGAACTGGTCTAATAATAATAATTTGCAAAAAAGGAATGGTAAATGGTCTTTTATGTACATTTTCTCATTTTGGGAAAATAAATTTGCACAAACATTACCAAGTTATGGTCTTCCAGGTAAGTAAAATACCTTAACTGGCCTTTATTTTAAATGGATGGAATACAGGGTTGCATCTAAGGAAAAACCATGCAGGCCTTTTTATTATTCAAGCCAGCTTCTTTACAAAACTGCACTGTTAAAATTACATACAGCAAAGGAAACAATTTAACCAAACAATAAAGCCCCTGGAGAACTCTGTTGTTTGGTTTCTTTGTTACTTTTGTGATGATGGTACCTGCAGAAAGACCCAAAATTACCCCATGTCCCTGCTTTCCAGAGTCATTTGAGTCAGTGGTAAGGTCTTTTTTAGCTGGTGAAATTAGCCTGCTGCCTCCTCTTAACGACATCCCTGGTAATATGTATCAAACTTGTAATACATTGTTTGACGTGACATCCAGACACTAAGAAGGGGATTGAAAAATGAGGCAAAGCCAAGTTTTGTAACACTGAGTTTGAGGTTTCTGGGAATCCGATGAAACACTGAGCAATGTGTTTGATATACCTTCAAGACTGACAAACAATTTTTGAAGAAATGGAAAGTTAAAGTTCACAAAATTTTGAGGAATTATCCAAACTTCTGTCATGGTAGTGATCATCCTTTGTTAAATCTTTTCATGAATTATTGATGAGTTTAGATAGTACTATGAAAGACAGCAGGTCTTAGTACATACCTTACCTTGGCTTACTGCAAACTGACTCAACACACCACAGAAATGGCGTGATTGTTATACTTCAGATTTTCTTTGCTTTTGCGTCATGAATTATTGTTGAGTTTGAGATAATACTAAGAAACACAGAAGATCTTTTGTATGTATCTTGCCTCGGCTTACTGCAAAGTGACACAACACATGCACTGTATCATGAATTGTCAGACGTTAGAACTTATGTCTTCAACAGAACTGGGTGTCAAAAGCTGTCAATGTCCAGCGTGTTCATTAGGCATCGGAGATTGGATAATTCTCCGTTTACTATGCATAATTCTCTGGCAAATGTTCATTCACCTATCATTGACTATTTTATATTCGGACGTGGAACGTCTGTCAAAATATTATCCTGTAACATTACACCTTTCTCCTGCTACTGGAATTTTTATTGAAAACTGTGAGTGTTATTTTTAAAAAAAACAAGTCAGTAACAATTTCCATCATCTATACTCTTATCAACCATAAGTTTGAGTTTCCTACTTTTGATGCCCACTAGTGTTTTTGTTTGGTATGTGCATTTACCATTGTAATAGCACAACTGCCATAGTCCACTGTCAAGAGAAAGCATAATAGTTGATAGAACTATTCTTGGGTTGGTTCATTATTTTGAAATTTTTTTTTTTCAGTATGGGGAGGAAGTTACTGGTGAAGTTCTACCTGAACATGAGGCAGCCCAGTCAGGTATTAACACTAAGAAATAATTTATTTGTCATTATTATTTTCTCTCCAGGGACTCACCTGATTTCTTTCCAGGCCCGCCGGTATGAAATCAGAATCTATAAGAAGGTGGTGTGGTTTTTAATAAAAGATATTGCTGTGAACAAAATGTTAATTTTATAGGTTTGTGTCTTTATAGTTTTCAGACACATCATACAAAGATTCTCTGATTATTTCATGGCAAATATTTTTTGTCTTTAATTGTTGGATAAACAAGTGTTTTCATTTTACGTTTATTTAATTTATTACTTATTTTATTTATGTAGGTATTTACTTATTTATTTAATATTATTATGTACATCCTCTGTCACTACATTATTATTTGTTTATTTTTGTCAAAAGATGTTATAATCACATAGTTTGTTGTAGACATTACATAACAAAGCTTTAATGCTCTCTTTGTTGAAGGAGCATACGAGTACAAGTCTTATACAACGGTCCATCCCAAATCTGCAGCAGCCAGATCTTCAAACACCTATTATGAAAGAAACAAAGGAAAGCCTTTGTACGTGGGCAACTTGACATGGGTAAGTTTGCACAACACTAGTATTGCCCCGCATCAGTTTGTTTTTTAAGAGAGCCCAGTGCTCTGAAACTGTGAAATTCAGAGTGCCCAGCTTGTATCCTTTTTTATGAAAAACTGAGATTCCCTAGTCACCTAAGAGCGAGAGTAAGAAACGAAACGTCCCCAGCAGCGAAGAGCGAAGGAGAAACGGATGCTTTCACAGGCTAGAGGCCACCAAGGACTGCTGCAACTCAGCCCGGAACTACTGAGGTTTGAATCCTGAACTTGGCATCATTGTGTGAAATCAGCCTTCAATTTTGAAGTCAGAACTCTGAGTTTACGACCAAACTAATGGCCACAACAAGTTCTAAACAACTGAAGATTTCCATAATGACAGGTTTTACTTGTGTTCATCTAATCTGTTCTCTTTGTACATGCACCAAAAGGCACATGCTGCTTGACACTCAACTTTTCCATTATCAGATTCCACTCCTTTTGAGGGAAGATGTGATTTTTGTCATTTAATGCGGTGTAGCAGGCTTTTTTCATGTCTTCAACCCCTTAAATGGGGGAGGTATTTTTCATTGCATTTGCTACTTCTTTTCTATCCAAGTGAAGTAATCAAGTTAATAATATCATTACTTTGTGTTATTGCTTATGTTTTTTAGTGGACAAATGATCAAGAACTGACAGAAGCCCTTCAAGAGTGCGGTGTAACAGACCTGATAAATATCAAGTTCTTTGAGAACAGAACCAATGGCCAATCTAAAGGGTGAGTTGAAATGTCAGAAAGTATTTATTTTTAAACTTAAGTAATGACATTCGGTGTGGTTAAGACCATCCTCAACCATTAATTTTGTGTTCTTTGCATCAATGTTCTTTTAGTTTTATGCTCATGAATTAATCATATATTATGTGCTACTTATTTAAGGACATTAGACAATACATAATTTGAACTTTTTCTGAGTTTTTGTTTGTGAAAGTGATCGACTGGTAAGATTGACTGACAGAGTTTGTGGTCTTTCATGATAAATTTTGCAACACTTCTTCGATTGCTATGTAGTACTTTCAATAGCATTGCTTTTGTGTCAATGCTGAAAACCCTTCTGATACAACCCTTTTGTGTTTTCAGCCAATCCTGCTGTTTGAGTTTAGATACAATGCACTCTTTGGTTTACCCACTTAACCAAAAGAAAATATCATGAGCTTTATATTGTCTAAATTAACTCAAGCTGTTATTATTACTTACAAATTTCTCAGTCCTTCACTGCCCACCATTTTTTTAGTAATCTGCTATCTACACAAAACATTTTTTTTGGCTTTTTCTACATCCCAATGTATGCTTTTCAGGAAGCATCAATGCAGACTACTTTTACTGACTCTGTGTTACTGTACTCACAGCTTATTCAGCTATTGAGTGACAATGGATAGCAGTGGGTACTGGGATGGTATCATTCAAGGAAGAATACACCCAACTTACACCAGAGAATTATTAGCTGCTGTGAATATCATTCCCAAAAAAATCACATTTGTATTTGATTTTCATCTCGTCAAAAAATGGCCATGTCAAATTTGTAAATTAGAGAGAAGCATACTGATTCCACATAAAATTTGTAAAGACAGAAATCGTAATAATGTATTATAATAATAGAGTATAAAATGACTTGCAATTGGCAGAAAAAATATTTTTGTTTACCCTCTATTTAAACTGATACATTGTGTAAATATACAGTATTTTAACTTGAATGTATTTATTTTGTATACTAAAGGAAATTGTGCAGATGTATTTTTTTATGAAACACAATCAACAAAAGTTATATAAAAATATATAATACTTATTATTTTGCTAATTTATTCAAAAGGAATTCAGAATAATTATTGTATACTGTAAGGAACCACTGTAATCAATAACTTCTGTCAAACTGTATGTAAGAATTACATGTATTTAGTACTTTATGCACATAACCTGTTGCGCAGGTTGTACATGTAATTCTTGGTTACTTGCTATGGTAACTATGAGGTCTGGGGTTTGGCCGCTATGTTTGTATCTGTTTCTTAGCTACATGTACCTCTGGTGGAAAACTTGAAGTATTTGTCTTTGTAATTTAAGTGTAAAATGAAAATAAATATACTGCACTTGCAGTCATGAATCTGTTTTTTTTTTATATTACAAGAAGCCTTCTTTTCTTGTTTTTGGTATATTTCCTTCCCACTAAGCTCTGTTGGTACTTTTGAATTCAGTGACTGACACCTATCTTAAGTTACAGAAAGGTTCTTTGTTTTTTCATTGTTTGCCTGCAATGGTTCTCAGCACAATTACATGAGCTACACATGTATTGTAACGGAATTTCTTAAATTTCATCTTAGCCAGCCCTAATGTTGCTACTTCCTAATGTATGAAAGACGGCACCCTGTTTTTGAAGTGTTATTTGTTTTTTTTTTTTACCCTATAATGAAAAAAAGGTTATCTTTATTTCAAGAGGGTTGCACATTTATGAGATCTTCTCCTACATTTTGTCTCAGGAGATCTTTGAAAAACTTTCTCATATGTAAATATTTTGCCCTCTCTGTTTTTATCTGTGGAGACAATGAGATCAGTTGCATGTAAGGTCATTAAGAGACATTTGTTCAATCACCTTTATTAGAAGGTTTTACTGAATTTGACTGTCGGTTGTGGAATGTGTTATTTTCATTGTGTACTTTTTACTGTATTTGTTGTCAATTTTTTATAAATCTCCTAAACAAAGAATGCTGGCATTTGCCAAAGGGCTTGGCTTTCACAAGTGAGTATGATATTAGCATTGAGTCGTAGGCAATGATTGGAGCATGCATTACATTGTGGTAATGTATGTACCATCATTTTAGAACTTGTATGCGTCATCTCATTCCAACCTTAAGATCTCAATCATTAGATGTATTCATGTAAAATATTTCCAGTGCTTTGGTAGCTCTTAGCAGCTGCCAAAGGGGTTTGTATGGACCCAGAGGCATAAAATCAATATATGCAAAATCCTGTCCATAAAACATTAAAGAGAGAGTTTTGTTTATCCATAAAGGATTAAGTACAGAAGTAACCTGTTCTGGTCCTTGTAAAATGAAACCAGAAATGAGAAAATTTGATTTAAATTAGTGTTGCACAATGTAGGTTCTTATGGATGCAGGAAACGGTAAGGTGAAAAATTGGAGTTGACACGACAGAAAAGCAACCTATTAACCACTCAGATATAGGGATGAATTTTCCAATATTTGCCACAATATTGTTATAAACTGTAATTATTGTAACTTTTTTCCTTCAATTTAGATTTGCTATGATTGAGCTTGGTTCAGAAACATCATGCCAACTTGTCACAGAAAAATTACCAAAAATGTAAGTTAGTCTGCAGGGTGCAGAGAGTGTCAGTTTTACAGCCTGCTATTCGGGCAAGCTGTAGCTACAACCAGTTGCAAAAGTACTTGAGACACTGTACCGTATTTTGGCATAAATGGCCTGTCCATGATCTTGTGCTTGTGATCCCCCCTCCACCCCTTATCAAAGTTGCTAGCAATACAAGACCATACTCAAAACTTGGAGGAACAACTTTGAATGGGAGGGAGGAGGGAGGTCAGTATTATATTTTACAGACCTGTGACCAGGAGCGATTTGAAGCAAGAAAGGTCGTTTTTCCGTGGGAGCGTCTCATCATTTTTGCAACTGGTTGTCTGAGTCCTTCATACCCCTATAGCCGTGGTGCACGATTATTAAACGGGGTAAAACGTGGTGCACTCTTAGCACCTAAGGAGGTGGTTATAAAAAAAAGTATTTCATTTTTGTCGGTTTATGTGTTTAAAATGGCGAGACAAAAAAAGGCAGTTGTTGGCCCTTTTGTTTATGTGGTAATATGCAAGAACTTGGGCTTTTAAAGGAAGAACGTGGCAAAAGATGCCACACCATCTTAAGTAAGCTGCAACGAAAGGGGTTTTTGGTCCTAAAACGCTACAGAGATGCGAAAAATAATATATTTTCTTCGAACTCGGTTAAAAGATGTTTATTTATGGAAGGAAAGTGACGTAAGATGCCCCGCTAGATCATGGAGATAGCTTTTTGTTGTTGTTTCCGATAAGTACGTGGACGTGGTTCCTCTTTTATCGCCTGCCATTTACAGGAAAGAAAAGTTACGCTAAAAAGCAGCTGTTGGCGACTTTACTTTACTTAACACAAGTTTGGATTTGTGTTTACTCTTTGGTCATCTTACAACTTTGTTTCGATTTTGAAGCCCGAGTGTGGCTATAGGCATCAGATAATGAAAATTCACGTGGGTATTTCAGTAACATAGTCGCGAGAGCTCGCATATAACGTGGCTTTGTAGTTCTGTACTTGGTAAGGAAATTTATTTCTTTGGAAAAAGGAAGACACTATCCCCAAGAAAAGCAATTTTCCAGCACAGCAATGTCAGGAATTTACGTGCTTCAACGGTCTACACGGTCTACACGGTCTACCATCATATGAGATAAATATAATAATATATTCTATTTCTTACTGTTGCAGAATGGTAGACCGTCAGAAAATAGAAATTAACATAGCACACAACTTTTTCTGCTCTCTAGCCTTAACGGACTTTAATAACCATCTTATTTTCACCGTAGTAGATGAAAAAAACTGAACGGTTTTACTTTAACAGCGATGTTGAAAAATAAGTCACGCGGTATACCAATTACATAACGCCATTACATATCAAATGTCATTGCGTTACAGATACAGGGGTGAAAAGGAAGGTTTGGCAGCTTTATTCGCCACTATAGTATCTCTAAATACCAAGAAAAGGAAAATTATGCTTTTATTATGCATTCGCGCTTCTCAGAGTTTAATTACAACGCCGAAACTTTAAGCTATGTCATGGTAGATAATGGCGCATGTGTTACAACAAAAGTGAGGCAAAATTTACAAGTCACTACATTCTTAAGCGCTTTTTTAGGCAGTTTGATATCAATGACAATGATGTATCGGCTGGGAAAAGCAACACAAAGTGTCATTCTATTTATTTATGTCGCTATAGTCTTCGTTTTGGGAATTTAAGACGTGGAAATCGCTTGTTGAAGTAAACCTTAAATGAGACAACCAGTTGCAAAAGTACTTGAGA